TAAATGACATTTAAGCTTTAAAAGAGGGTAATCAATTTGCTTGCTTTAACTATTCTATGTCCAATTAATTGAGTTCTTCTGAGTTTTGGATGCAATTAAGGTAATCGAAATGAAAACAACAAGGTCTTATTTTTTTGCAAAGTTTTTCTGCAAATGCCCTACATTATTCATGCTTGATTTCAAAGTTTTTAAGATAATGCAACAGATTGAAATATAAATCAAAGATACCCATCATACCGAGAGAATATGCCAACTTTTCCAGAACTTGCGTTAGGAGGGAAAATTTGAACGTGGAGGAAGAAGAGGTCCTGTCGCTTCCAATGGGCCATTCAAAATTACGAGCCAACAGTTTCCGCAGTGTTTTTTGTCATTTCCATGCGCTCATTGTCAGTTTTAAGTAAGCGACTTCCCCGTTGTTGTTTTTGCAGCAGCCAAAAAGTTTTGTGACCAAAACTCTGCCTACAAATGCAGACAAATATGGAAAAACTCATGAAATGCAATAAATTTTCAAATATATTTTGTGTGCGCGGCAGCCGAGTTTTTAGTTTGTCTGTTTTTGATTTTTTCTCCATTTTTACCGTTCAGATTGTTGGTTAGTTTTCTATTTTTTGCTGGCCGTGTATAATTTTTCATTGTGTTGAACTGCAAACTTTTTTCTTGGTGCAGTGCACAGACCGAACTGATAAAGCTACGTTTTGCAAAAAACCAATTCAAATACCAAAAAAAATGGGGAGAGAGATAGAGACTGCGACTGGCGCACTCCAAGAATTGACGAAGTCTAAGGCTAAAAGAACCATATAAATCAAATGTTGATTGCGTAAAGTCAGAAGAACAAATTTACGAGTCGCTCCAAAGCCGACCAAAAATAACAGATATCTGTGACGACGACAAATATGAATTTGATTTAAGACTGGCTGCAAATAGTCAAGTTGTTCTGTTTGATAACATGTTTTTAAAAAAAACATATTCCAATTTGAAACGTAAAAAGGTAAGTGAAATTGGAAAGAAAATACGTAAAACAAATAATTAAAAAATATAAATAGCATTAGCCAGTTAAAGTTAATTTGTTTTTTTCATTTGTAAAGCTCTTATGGTAACTAATAGATTTACAAGTCTTTTTCAGTAATTTACATTTTTTATAATTAATAATTCTTAAGAATTTAATCATTTTTAAAATAGATGAGATTTATATTAATTTGTCGATTAATATGCGTTCACTTATTTTCCATTTTAAAATGAATTATTAATTTATAATTATTTGATAATATAATAAAGTGTATGTTCAATAAAATTTCTTGGCTTTTTGATGAGCTTCAGTGACTTATTAAAATATTTTTTTATAATTAATTGAAGTGTGTGAAAATGTTTTAAAATACCTACAATGGGTGAGAATAAATAATTGAACATTTTAAATATCTAATTTGTCAAATTTAATTCCATTTAAAGCTTTTTGATTTGTACTGATTTTCAGTCACTCATGCAGATTTTTTACCAATCCCCAACGTCGAAAAAGACCAAAGTCATGACATAGTCGGGTGAAAACACTTTTACTACGAACCTGCCTGTCACCCTTGTGTCAAAGACCGTAAATTTGGAGCGATTTTCTCCACAATTGCCCCGTCGCCCGGCGGAGACACAACAACAAACGAAATCATACATCACCCATCTTCTGGCCAACTGATAGTGCTGATAGCTACTCCATTCCGATCGCGTTCTCCTCCGATAAGAGGACGAAGTGGGTGTTGGTCCGCAAACGATCGCTGATTCGACTTGGCTTGGCTGGCTATATAAGCCAGAACCCAACGGTGTGGGCGTCATTAGAAGTTTTGGGCCCAAACGGAACGGTGCGGACTGAAAAATGCTAAAACTATTCGCACTGGTGCTGCTGCTGAGCGGCGTGGCATTGGCAGCCGACCACTACGACGGGTGAGTGATAGCAATCACAGTTTGCACAATGCACGAAATTTTGGACATTTTTGTTAACTTTCAAATGAAATTAAAACACGAATTCCTTTAGAAAGTGAAAAAGTGATAGACAACTTAAATTAAATTAACTGATAGAAACCAGTCATATAAAAGATATGAGCCCTTACAAATTTGTGGGTTACTTTCAAAAAGTCATAAGCCCGTAATTAACTTGTAGAAATATTACTAGTATACTAGTACAATTATAATTATAATTTTATAATTTTCAAAAGAAAAATTTGAATCAATGCTTCTTAATGTTTTTATTTATTCTAATAAAGGTGCAAAAATAACTTTAAACACCATTGAAAATGGCTAACAATCACTGTTGTATTTTACTTTTTTCGGTAATTTATTTGATAATTTAAAATAACTTAACAAAAATTTAACATGTTTATCCATTTTAAACAAACAAATAAATTAAATAAAAAATCTTTTATTTTATTTACACCCATTTTAAATGATAAAACATTTTAATTTCCATAGCTATAAGATCTACGACATCAATACGCGAAATGCCTTTGAGAAGCAGCTGTTGCTGCGTTTGTCGGGCAACGAGGAGTACGACTTCTTCGATCTGCCCCGCTCCCTGGACGCGCCGAGTCGCGTGATGGTGAAGCCCGGCGATCAGGAGGGATTCGAGCACCTGCTGGCGAAGTATAACGTGGACTTCTCGGTGGTCAGCGAGAACTTGGGAGTGTCGCTGCGTCAGGAGCGCGAGGAAAACCAGAACCAGAGGCTGATGAATCTGCGGTCCGCCGGACGCAGCATTAGCTTCACCGCCTTCCACCGCCACGCGGAGATCAATGCCTATTTAGATGAACTGGCCGCCGCCTATCCCAGCCGAGTGTCCGTGCAGGTTGCCGGCAAGTCATACGAGAAGCGGGACATCAAGACCATCACCATCACCAACGGCGATGGCAAGACTGGCAAGAATGTGATCTTCCTCGACGCCGGCATCCATGCCCGTGAATGGATCGCTCATGCCGGTGCCTTGTATGTGATCCACCAGCTGGTGGAGAACTATGCTGCCAACGCGAACCTGCTGAAGAACTTCGACTGGGTCATCCTGCCGGTGGTCAATCCCGATGGCTATGAGTACTCCCACACGAGCACTCGTATGTGGCGCAAGACCCGGAAGCCCATCACCAGTGCCTGCTACGGCACCGATGCCAACCGCAACTTCGACTTCCACTGGGGAGAGGTGGGCGCCTCCAGCAACTCCTGCTCCGACACCTTCAAGGGCGAGACGGCCTTCTCCGAGCCGGAGACGCAGCTGCTCCGCGATCTCCTGCTCGGCCTGAGCGGACGCGGCAAGTTCTATCTGACCCTGCACTCTTACGGCAATTACCTGCTGTATCCTTGGGGATATACCGCGTAAGTAACACCGTTTAATAACCAATAATAGTTTTACTTTGTCTGAATAACCAGCCTAGGAGGTATGTCAGGTGTGCTTGACCAACTGTAAACATCTTCAAGTATTTATTAAGTATCTAAGAGCCAATCTTTGCACTTGCTTTTTTAAATATTCCAGAACTCTTTATAAAAATTAAATTAAGTTTAATTTAATTAAATTTAGTACTTGAAAGTATTTTTACCCTTTTTTGCACTGAATACGTTGAATTTCATAGCTATTTTTTCTCTGTGTACAGAAATGAAACTTAAAAGTATATAGTATATTAATACTTATACTTTTATACGGTTCATAGTTTATTTTTTTGTTTTAAAATATTTTTTCTTTTTTATTTTTGGGTGTAAACATTTCTCTTCCGATTCCTTTAAACATATTTATTTTTGGAGGAGAATTTGAGTGAAACACGTTTAAATAAATGAATTTGTTAATTCCGGGAACTATCCGAAATATAACCATTTAATTTTTTTAAACGATTACGATAATTAAATTTTTTAAAATATTGCACGGACAAATGTCAAAGCTTTTAAATAGGACTAAATCGTAAACCGAATACTCCCGGACTCTTCTCTAATCCTTTCAATATTTTCGCAGGGCTCTTCCCAGCACCTGGCGCGACATTGATGAGGTGGCCCAGGCTGGAGCGGCTGCCATCAAGAGTGCCACCGGAACCAAGTACTCCGTGGGCAGTTCCACCAATGTTTTGTATGCGGCTGCCGGCGGTAGCGATGACTATGCCTTCGGAGTGGCCAAGTTCCCGGTGTCCATCACCATGGAACTGCCTGCTGGCGGTACTGGGTTCAATCCCAGCACCAGCCAGATCAAGTCCTTTGTGGACGAAACCTGGGTGGGCATCAAGGCCATGGCCCAGAAGGTTACCGAAAAGTACTAGGCGAGTGCAATAAACGCCATTGATATTACCCTAATCGCAACGTCTTATTACTAATTGGGAATTCAACTCTCGTTCTTGGCATTTTCACGCTTGGTAAGATAGGCGCGCGTCCCATCGGGAGGCCATATCACTTGCCTTGTGGCATTGACACACTGGGTTAATTAGAAGGGGCACTCCACTCGGGATTCTTCGGACTTATCGCGGCTTGCTAATTGACTTCATCAAGTGCGGTGGATTTCAAGTGGTACCCTAGATTATCAGACAAATCAACTATCTTTGGTTTACTATAAAAAAGTGGAATTAAAAAAAACGGGTTGATAGTTTTCCATATTTTTTTTTTATTGAATAGCTTTTATATTGCGGTTTATTTGTAGAAAACCACTTCGTTCAAATGGGAGGTACTGCTGTAGGTCATTCGATCGACACAATTTTTCAAAAACAATTCCGATGATATGGCTTTGAATGGCGACTTCATTCACGTGCTTTATGTTGTTAATCGCTCTGGATGGTTAGCTTATGTTAGAAGAGTATTAAACAGTTGAAAGGTGATTTTAAAATATTTAAATATTTTTATTCTAATAGTTACTGGGGCAAATCAAATAAAACTATTTTGTATTCCCCTGATGCTTAAATTTCTTTTACTAAACCATGAAAGCAGAGTGAGTGAATATAACCTCAGACATATGGCACTGCTTTATTTTTAATATAATTTTAAATATAAAAGAAATTCCGTTGAAGTTGTAAAATTGTCTGACTGCATTTATTTAACTTAACCTATGTTTTTCAAATTTCGGTGTCTTATTTAAATGGAGACAAAGGTAACTTTCCTTAAATAGGTTTTCAGCTTAATTAATGATAATTCTTCAAAATTCTTTGAGATTTAAGTTTGGCTAACAGGATGTTTCGACTTTGTGAAATTCGACAACTGGTTCCGTTCTCTCATCTCGATTTCTGGTAAGAAAATCATAAGATTAGCTGAAGAACACAAGTTAATTTTTATTGACCCACCTGTTAATGAGCCCTTTAAGCGTTCTGCCCTTAAGGACGAACAGCACGAAAATAGGTATCCCAATGGCCGCATGATAGTAGTCGGATAACCAAAGGACATTAGGCCAAAAATCGTAGGCTTGCATTAGACAGAGAATTAAGTCCAGGCTCCAAGTCACTCCCAAGAGCGTAGTCAGCCGCAGCCACATTACAAAACTTTAATCGGAAAAATAAAATTATGATGGTAAGCGAACTAATAGAAAAGTTATAAAGCCTTACCTCAAGCACTTCTCCAGGAAGAAAGGCAAACCTTTCTTCACTTCCCTCTCTTTCTTAAGGATAGTAATTGTTGTGAGGATATAAAGGGATATATTGAAGATGGTCAGGATCAGCATCGGTCCATAGAAATATATTAGAGTAAACCAATCCTGGCCTTTGATCGTTACAAAATATTGGTTAAGATACCATGTCTCTTTCTTCCATAAAGCATTTATTACAATGATAACTCCGGTCAGGACAGCCGCAGTGTTCCACACAAAAACGTTGTAGGAAACGAAAGGAATTTCCCGGTAAATCTTACTTTTGTCACACCCAAAATCCTTCCACAACTTATGGTTTAAGACATAAAACCAAAGAAATGAAGCCAACCAGAAGAAGTTTGCAATGTAACCTGAAAGATGTTAAAAACGAATTTGCCCGACTTAGTTTTAAGTTTAGTTTTTAGTTTCAATTTAACAACTTACAAGCTGGTGAACGAATGTTGTCTAACAAATTCCAAGCATCCAGCATCCAAATGAAGCATTTCATAAACATGCAAAATAGGCAGCAGATAAAGCACTTGCCAGTCAGATTTCGAAGTTTTTTCACGTATAGATATGCTAAGATCGTGAGGATATAGCAAATCAGTGAAGTTACGGCGACTGGATAGACAGAAATAATGAGAGGTAAAAGCTGGTGAAAGTTTTTAAATTTGTATTTTCTTACCCTCACGCACCCCCGCTCGCAACTTCGTCAAAACTGCAGACATATAGGTAAGGTTATCCGCTTTGTGTAAAGTCCAGTTGTAGTCTTTGGATAGGGCGGTTCCGTTCTAGGAAGATAGTATTGGATTGTAATGTGAAGCAGATAAGAAGTGCAATAAAAACCTTTAACACTGTATACGGAAACGGCCCCAATCTGTCCCTCTCCTCGCAGGACTGGTCCCTTAATACAATCAGTTGTGAGACATCGGGCAGCTCCACCACCGACTGGTTTTTGAGGGTTTTACTCAAGTGTAGACGGGTGAGGAGAAGTTCCTTTTCGAGGACATCGCTGCACTTGCCGTGGGCCAACATTTTCCCGCTGGGACAGCAGAACCGAACGCAAGCCATCAAGTGACAAACACAGACTCTTGAATGCTCTTCTACAAACACTTTTTTTCCATCCGCCCGCAGCTTAAAGTTGTAATTTCCCTTCGCCATAGCAGATAGCCCTTTGGACCCTAAAACATCCTTAAGTTGGGGATCCGCTCCATCCACCGTATCAAAGTAAGAGCAGTTTGAAATTTCTGCCCTTGACGTGCTCACGATCATAAGAACAATTAGAGAACCGAAAAATTTATGTGGCTGCCACATTTTGGGGCTTGGAACTTCCTATGCGGAGAGCAAAAGTCGACTGACCCTCCATAAGCTCAGTTCACAAATATAAAAAGATTTTGCTCCAAGTTTTTAAAATCTAAAACGAAGGAACTGAGTCATCACTTAGATTCCTTTGGGAATACAATCTCGGCTATGCAGAGAGAATTTGTTGTGATGAATGAATTTGGGAAACCCACTTGGGAAACACACTTGAGATCCAATGCCCGCTCTCATAAAGTCTGGTACAAGCCGCTGATTGCGCCATCATTGACGTCATTGTGAGCAACTCTTGTGATTAGAAATTCAAAAGCCCAAAAATAGGCGTCCAGGGAGTTGAAAACTGATTATTAAACATAAAACTAATTGAGTGAATTACGCTGGTGCTGGAAACCAAATTAAATTTTACATTTGAAATACTTTTTTCAAACAAATTTTAAACAAATTTAAAGGAGTTAAGTGGGATAATCTCAGTTCACATAAAAATGTTTATTAAAGAACAACTCTGTTGAACAAATTTTCTAAAAAATACTAAAAAGTCAAGTAATTGCTCATGTATAAAATAAGGTTACATTTTTTTACTCAGTGTCTTTAATCATATGAATTGCTCTTTTATCTTTTTAACACCATTAGACGTTATCTAATCGACAAAAACCAAAAATTTATATTGCATTCAAAAAGTGTTTAAAATCGTGTAATTTTGTCGCAATTGTCAGACACTTTATAAGCTTCAGATGATTACTAAGTCGCTTTCTTGTAATTTAATGCACTTTTAGGCCAGGGGATACTTTTGAATAACTCTCCGTGCCATGGCCGCAATGCCCACCCAGGTCTCCTTGACCAAACGATCGATATCCGATGCCGGGGGATCGAATCCATCTTCGCCACCGAATGGCAGTTCCATGGTGAATGAAATCGGGAATCCCGCATTAAAGGCATAATCATCACTTGCCCCAGCAGCCGCGTAATTTATGGTAGTCGTAGAGGGTCCAAACCTGTACTCAGTGCCTGTGGCCTCCAGAATAGCTTTTTTGCCCTCTGCAGCTACCTCATCCAGATCGTCGACGGTATCGGGAACAGCGCTAAAATATATATATCATTAGGGATAACTAAATGGGGAACACAATTGGAACTCACTCGGTCCAGCCCCAGGGATATAGGATTAGAGAGCCATAGGAGTGCAGTGTAAGATACATTTGTCCTCGACCCGCGTAGCTATGGATGAGATCCCTCACCACCAGAGCCTCCGGTTCGGAGAAAGGTTTCGGTCCAGCGTAAGTGTTATCACACGGATCCTCCGAGGCGCCCGCCTCATTCCAGTGGAAGTCAAAGTTCCGATTGGGATCAGTACCGATGCACTCGGAGCTGCTGGGTTTTCGGGTCTTCCGCCACAAACGATTGTCGGGCAAAGTCTGGGTGAACTCATAGCCATCGGCGTTGACCACCGGAAGAATAACCCAATCGAAGTCCAGCAGGAGATCCGCATTGCTTTCGAAATTCTCCACCAGCTCATTGATTAGATGAACCGCCGCAGCCGGCGAGATCCACTCGCGAGCATGGAAACCGCCATCCACGAGGATCACATTTTTATTACGCCGTGCATCTCCATTGGTTATAGTCACGGTTTTCAACCACCGACCCTCGTAGCTTTTGCCCACGGTTTTCACGAAAACCCGATGTGGATTGTCCCTGGCCAAATCCTCGATATACTGGTTGATTTCATCATGAGTGTAGTACCTTTCCGTACCCAATCTTCCATTGTAGGGAAACCACTGACGCAACATCTGATTCATTTCGAATTGGCGGCTCAAAGTTAGGCCCACATTTCGGTTGAGCACGTCATAGGCCGCATTGTTTTCAGCCATCAACTTTACAAAGTTTACCTGCTCGTCGGGATGGACCATCACCTTGGCGGAATTACCACCTTTAAAGCCGGAGAACACCTCATAGTATGACTCATTCTTAACCAATTCGGAAATGGTAAGTTCTAAGGCTGCAGAACGAGCTTTACTGGAGACCTCGTATACTTTGTAACTAAGAATAGAAGTTAATTATAAAATATAATTTATTTTATGTAGTTTTCTTGTAAATAATACCCATCGTATTTGTTGGATTTCTGTAGTCCAGCAGACAAGCTCAGGTAGCTGAGTGCCAGCAAAAGCCACCAAACTGTCATCTTTCCAAGTCGCAACCTAAATGAGCAATACAAATTTAAAAGCCATCAACTTTCGTTGATAGTTCCCCGGCCGACAATCTCGAATCGTTATCAAGAAATCGAACTATATGGATGGTTGTAAAATCAAGAGAAATCGATCAGATTGTCGGCACAATAAAAATAACATGCAATCTAATAGCTTGGTTCCCAATTACGTTTTCCTAAAAATTCTCCAAAAACTAAGTGAATTTAATTCGATTTTGATTGATTGCTTATTTGTTTAACCATCAAAAAGTTAGAGATCAAAAAGATAAATTAAATATATATTGAGCGTAAATTGGACCTTATCACTATAAAAATTGACTTTTATAAAAAATAAAAAAAATAAATTAATATTAATGAAATTTTATTGAAAGCATATGATATGATTTTAATACATCTCGATTAGCTTCTCGGCCATTGCACGGATGCCGATCCAGGTTTCGGTGACGAACTCATCGATGCGGGTGACTGGAGGATTGAATCCGATCGAGCCAGCTCCTGACAACTCCATGGTGATGGAGACATTGAAGCCGGCGTAGTAGCCATAATCATCACTGGCTCCAGCTGCAATGTATAGTACGTTGGTGGAGGATCCGTAGGTGTACTCGGTGCCAGTGGCGCTCTTGATGGCCTCGGCTCCAGAGCGAGCTACTGCATCCAGATCTTCCCAGTTATCGGGCAGATCGCTAAAGAAGTATAAGTATAGGTAGAAGCATATTTAAATAGTACATACAAAAACGTTATGGGAAAATGTTTGATTTGTAAGTGGTTTGTAATGTAAAATTAAGTTATAAAAAAAAGTTTAAGTCTAATTAGAACTTGAATTAGAATTTCTGATTCATCTTAAGTAAAAATAAAAAAATTGAATATGTATTGTGGAATCCTAAATACTCTATACAATAAAAAAAATTGGTGTTCAAATTAAAGAAGAATGTTAACTTTTAAAATACATAACAAAATAATAATACTTCAAATATTGCCCTAAAAAACAATGAGTAATCCGAATCTAATTCAAATACCTTGCACTAAAGAACACAAACATTATGGAGTTAAACTGGTTGACTTACGAAGTCCATCCCCAAGGATACAGCAGATAGTTTCCGTAGGAGTGGATGGTGAGGTACATAACGCCCCTGTCCGCCAGCGAGTGCATCAGATCCCGGACGACGATGGTCTCCGGTTCGGAGAAGGCTGTTGGGCCGGCATAGGTGTCCACGCAGGGATTCGAGGAGGCACCCTCCTCGTTCCAGTGGAAATCAAAGTTCCGGTTGGGATCCGCTCCGTAGCACGTCCGTCCGGCATACTTATACGGCTGGCGGGTCTTGCGCCACATGCGAGCCGTGGTTCCGGTCTGGGAGTGCTCATACCCATCGGCATTCACCAGGGGAAGGATCACCCAGTCGTAGTCCTCCAGCAGATGGGCATTATCCTCGAAATGCTCCACAAGCTGATCGATGACATAGAGAACCGCCGCCGGAGAAATCCATTCCCTGGCATGGAAACCGCCATCCATAAAGATCAACTTCTTGCCGGCCTTTCCATCGCCATTCGTGATGGTGATGGTCTTCAGGACTCGCTGCTCATAGGACCAACCCACGGTCTTAACGTACACCCGTTTGGGAAAACGGTTGGCCAGGTCATCGATATAGTTGATGATCTCCTCGTGACTGTAATAGCGCTCCGTGCTCAGGCGACCCTTTCCCGTGATGGGCGCCAAAAGACGCTGCATCTGCCGCTGGGCAAACTCCTCGGCAATGGAAGCTCCCAGGTTGGAATTCACTAGGGTGTAGTTAATCTGCTCCCCCTCAACCAACTGCTGGAACTGCTCCAACTGGTCAGGACTTACGATCACACGCGAATGATGTCCGATCAGGCGACTCTCGCTGATGAAATCAAATCCCTGCAGGCTGAGCTGGTGCAGCTGTTTAGCCTGGTCAGAATTCGAAGGAGTCACCTCGTAGATGCGATAACTAAAATCAGATTTATGAGGTAAATATTAAGGAACATATTTATAGTAAATATATTAATTTATTAGAAAACTTAAATTTTCTTCTTTTCTTCCTTTTCTGTAGTTCAAAAGTCATCATCAAATCAAAAATAATAAACTTCCGTTAAGTTTTTATATCGTAACATGCGGAGATTTAATAAAGTAAAGCAATCTTTGCATTTTTCATATGTAAAAGAATAAATAAGGTACACCCTTAAAGGAAACAATTTAAAGAATTAACTATTTTGTTTCATAACTGTGATAATTGCTTATAATTTTAAATACCTTAAGCAATTTCTTTCCCGAATTAAAGGAATATTTTGCTTTATTAAAGTTTAGTTTTTCTTTCTATGTATTATGAGTAGAAGTTTTAGTTTTCCTTATAACTTTTTCTTAAAGTTCCGAAATCCAAAAAAACGTTCTAACATGTCTCCGAGTGACAGTACACACTTTTACGATTTGTGGGCGTTAGAGTGGACGTGGAACTACTAAAATCTACTCTACGAGCACCTCTTTTCTCCTAACCCAGTACTTACCCCTCATAATCGTGATCGGCGGCCACTAGAGTGGCGCCGAAGAATAGCACTAGCAAACCCAGGGAGAACTTCATCTTAGGACAGACTAAGCAACCGCGTGGCTGCGGGGAGCCACTTAAATAGGTGGCCAAAGCCAGCCGGCCACATATCTAATCGGCAAATGGATCAATAAATAATAAACCACTTCAAAACTCCCGCACGAGTAACCCGCAAATCAGAGCTGGCGCAATTCGTCGCTAATGTCTCTTTATTTACAGCCCGATTACGCCGGATAGGACCTTATCACCTCCGCGGCCATGGCCCGCACTCCCACCCAACTTTCCGTGACCAATCGCTCGATGTGGGAAACCCAGGGATCGAATCCCTGGAATCCTGCCGCCGGCAGCTCCATGGTCATGGCCACCGTGGCATTGACCACTCCCAGAGCAAAGTCTGTCGTATCGCCCGACGTCGGATATAGGACATGGTAGGTGCTCCCCCAGCTATATATGCCGTTCGTGGAGTGGACGATCGCCATGCCGCCGGCATCCGCCACAGACATCATGTCCTGGTAGCGTTCCGGAAATTCTCTGGATAAATAAAATAAGTAGTTATTGATTAGACAATGCTAATTTAACAAATTAGAAATTTTATGTATATTAAGTCATGTTTTTCTAAAATTTGTGGCCTTAGCTAAGTCCAGTATTGCATTGGATTTACAACATTTTATTTGTATCTTAACTTTTTCATTAAGTTTTTCATTTATGTTTTGAAAAGACTTTATCTTTAAGAACTACTCATCGAAACTTTCCGCAGTTTGTATCTAATATATCAAGGCCAAGGAATAAAAATGTCAAGTAAGGGCTTTCTTACGTTAGCAAAGTGACAAGTCGATTTCAGTTTGCAGGTTTGTTTTTGTGAAGATAAAGTCAATGGACATTTACGTTCCATAAATTATATCGTTATCGGTTACAAGAGATAATCAAATTTATTGAACTGTTTAGGCGCAACCAAAACAAAAACATTGGTCACAGTCTAACCCTTTAATGGTAAAGATCAACTAAAAATCTCTTAAAAAGCCAAATAAATAAGGAAGGTAAATTCGAAGACAAATCAATGCCATCTGAATCTTTTAATTATAAAAAAATGAAAATTCCAAGAAGTGAACTGTGCTATCTTTTGTGAATTCTACAAAAGTGCAATGCCTCTTTACTTTATTCTAAATAAAACTTAAAAATCTTAGCATTTCCGCATAACTTAATATCCATTTTGGCATACTAATATCAAAAACTTATTCCACTTATATGTACATATATTTCCAATGATCTTTAAGCAAATAGATTGTAGACTTACCTGGTATAACCCCAAGGCAGAAGGAAGTAGTTGCCGTAGGAGTGCAGTGAAAGATAAAAGTTAAGTCGCCCCCGGTAATTGAGCAGAACATCTCGCAGGACCTGCGACTCGGGCTGGTCAAAGGGTCGTTCTCCTCGGTAAATACCCTCGCAGGGATCTGAAGAGGAGCCCTCGTCGTGGCCCCACTCGTAGCCGAAATTACGGTTGATATCGGTGCCAACGCATTCCGGATTACTTGTGGGGCGACGGGTCTTCCGCCAATAACGCGAATCGGTATGAGTGTATTCATATCCATCGGCATTTACCACTGGCATTATCACCCAGTCGTAATCTTGTAAGAGCTCCTGGTTTTCCGAATAGTTATCCAACAACTGTTGGATGATGTAGAGGGCCATGGACGGCGATATCCATTCCCTGGCATGGACAGTGCCATCGATTAGGATCACTGGCTTGTCCCGCTTCCCGTCTCCGTTGGAAATGGTCAAAACTTTAAGGGGTCTTCGCTCGTAACTCCATCCAAATTGCTTCACCTGAACTCGTTTGGGAAACCGTTCTGGTAAACTATCCAGGTATTCGTTGATTTCTGAGTGGGTATAAAATGCTCCCAGGACTTCGATGTGTGGCATTTGGATGAACTCTTTTCTCTTTATGTTCTCCGCTCGCTGGGCCTGCACCAAGGGTGCCAGATCCTCAATCAGCACTCGATGTTCCAAGTGATAGCTTCTAAAAGTTTCAACCGAACTATCAACTTCTTCAGGCGGTATAATCACCCTCAGGGAACTATCATTCGAATTCCGAGTCGTTCCCAGAAAATCCCAAAGTGGCTTTTCCTTAGACAACTTTCGTATCAGTTTCCGGTCTGCAATTCCTTGAGGCCTCAGCTCGTACACCCTGTAGTCCTTGTAATCCTGCCAAGCAAACAAGACCAAGGGCTGCACCAGCAGTAGAGTTAGTAATCCCAAGAGCGACGCAGCCATTATTTCCCGAAAGTCCGATATTGACTGAGTAAAAAACGGGTGTGAGAGCTGATCGCCTTACCCATTTTTATGACTTTATTGGAGACGCTGCCGCCTACGGCTACGGTACCAATAAGACGCCCCGTTTATATGCTCTAGTTTATGACATAGACCACACTCAGTTGTCCCCCTTCTGTTTTTCAGGGGCCGAAACATCTGTAAAAGAAACTAGTTCCAGTTAATATAACAACATAAATTTTATAATATATCAATAGATCATAAGAAATAGTAACAAAAATAATAATTATGGTTTTTAAAATTAGAACTAAACTTACCAAAAGTAATATAAAATGTATTTCTTTTGTATATTTTAAGCTGAAACCACTTTTTGTGTTTATTTTGTTGGATTTAAATACAACTTGCGAAATACAGTAAAACAGAGACTACATAAACAACGCTGTCCAAAATACTTTTAAAAACATTTTTAAGTTGAACTTTTGGTAATGATTATAAACTTAATTAAGTCTATTGACCATTTACCATTTAAACTAAGAATTAAAAGCTTTGAAAACATTCCATCAAAAAATTAAAAACTTAAAAAATCACTTTAGACGAAACTTATAAAAAAAACGGAAAATAGGCTTTTAACTTTTTCCTTTTAGTTAATACAAAAAATGTTAAATCCAATTATTTGTTCAATATTCATCTCTTTAATGCTTAACAACGAGGTCACTAATTATTTTAATTTTAACAAACAATAAATTCAATTGCTTAAACAGCTTAGGAAATACGGCAATCTCTAGTAGAGGCTCACGTGCCGGATGAACTCGATGAAGCCGGCGAATGTCTCCTTGCAGACGTGGATGATGTCGTGGGCGGGCACGTGGAACTCGTCACCGGGCAGCTCGAGCGTGTAGGACAGTGGGATTCCCAGGTTGCCGTAGGCGAAGTCGTCCAAACTGCCAGAGGCTTCATACAAAATGGAGGCGGAGGTGCCCGTGGTGTAGCGGGTGCCACGGTACCTGCCGATCTGGTTGGCGGCCCTCAGAGCCACTGAACGCAGCGTTCCCACGGTGGGTGGCACGGTGTTTCTACACAAAGAGAAATTATTATTAAATAAAACATTTTTTTAAAACGAAAAAATAGCATGTCTGTTTAAAAAGTAGCTTAAAAAGCTTAAAAAGTAGTTTATAACCGTTTTACTTTATATATTCATTCATTTTATTCAAGCTACAGAAACTTTAAAAAATGTAGAATATATTTAAAAATTTGTCAATATGAATGTACTCCTAAATTTAATGAATTATTTTTCCCCAATAAAAAGAAAAGTTAGAATGGTACAATTATGAATATTATTTCCAAATCTCTAATACTAAAGAATTAATCTTCAGATATTACTCGATTTCAACCTCAGTTTTTCGAGCAGTGCAAATGAAAAAGAATTAAATGACTGCAATGGCAGAAATATTCGGGTTTAATTGCTTTTAGCAAATAATTGAAAAGTAAATTGAATTTCTTTCCGGGCCACCCGCTGGCCGGGCCTTCAGCCACAGCCGCCGGGGATTTTCGGACGTGAAACATGGAAATGGACATGGACATGGAAATCAGGGAGATTTGCTGCCCGCTCACACTCACTTCGCATAGCCGTAGGGATAAAAAATGAATTTGCCAAATGAGTGAACATCCAGGCTGAGTTTCACACGGTTCCGATTGAATTCCAGATATCGCACCACGGCCGAGGTCTCCGGCTCCGAATTGGGAGCTGTTCCCGAGTAAACCTCCGAGCAGAGCTGTCGTTTTGGATGGAAAGGATTCGGGGGGTTACGCGTGGGTCAATGGCAAAGGTCAATGTCGGGGTCAACAAGTGGCTTACGTTCTGACTGGCACCCTGATAGTTCCAGTGGTTGCCAAAGTTCCGGTTGATGTCCACGCCGGAGCAGGAATGACCCGCATAACGATGACGGTTCTTGCGCCAGAAACGATCCTGCAAATGATTTAATTAAAATATTTGTAATTCTATTTCATACTAAAAGTTAATGTAATAACAGCAGTTCACTATTCTTAAAGCTCTCACCAATCTGTACTGTATTATTCTTGTACACAAGTGTCAAGGAATTCTAAAAATAATCATAAACACATTTAAAACACTTTTAAAATGTCACTTCCCTTTGAAATAATTAATGTGTTTCCCCTCATTTTCGTATGAATACTTAAAACATTTACGTATTTAAAGATAAATGGACAAGTCTGTAGCAAATATACAAAAACATCATATAGGCTTTGAATCTTTCTTAAAGTTATTAATTTATTTTTCAGATAATATTTATCTTGCTTTTGTTTTTTACAAAAAAAAATCACATTTTAATGTTCTGTTGCCCTTGAATAAACTGTAATAAAGTCCAAAAAATGTGTGCATAATATTTTAAAAATTAAATGTTGCCAAATTATCTGAAATAATTCTATATTAAATAAAAGTTTAGAGATTTTTTTTTTTAATTTGGAGCTTAGGAATGATAAAATATTGTTTAATGTTAAAATGCAATTAAAAATATGAATTACAGTTGCTTTCGGCAATAATTTTAAAAAATAATTTAGAGTATACAACTCTTTTTAAGTCTTTAAAATGTATACACTCAATACAGAATATATTCCATTATCACTTACCGTGGAGTGGGTGTATTCATAACCATCGGGATTGACGAGTGGCACCAGGAAAATCTCCACATCCTGCAGGACCCTTGTAAAGGCTCGCAGATTACTGAGCAGTTCGTAGGCCAAATAGAGGACGGTCTGCGTGGTGATCCACTCTCTGCCGTGGGTGGCTGCCTGGATATAGGCCACTCGACGAGGTCGTACCCTACTGTTCAGAGAAATCGAGAGGGCGGCTATATGACGACCCTCATTGGAGCGACCCAGGGACTCGTAGCGACAGTACTGCGGATATCTGGCGGCCAATCCGCTCATGAAGCTGAGCACTTCGTGGTATCGCGGATAGTGCGAGAAGAATCCGCGCGCTTGGCGACGAGCTCTCCGACGTGGACGTTCCGCCTGCTCGCAATCCTCCAGCTGGCACTCCTCGTACTCCCCATCGAAATCGTCCTCGGCAAAGGAACTGTTTGCCTGCAGGGCGGCCATCAACTCCATCAGTGGCTGCATCTCGTAGTTCACTCCCAAACTGGACAGACGCGCCTCGAACTGGCTCTTCCGCTTGGGGCTCACTGTCAGCACGGAGGAGTTCCTGGTCAGGAGCCAGAAGTCCAGCTCCGCGTCGTTCGTCTGCAGATCCACCATGTACCGGAACGCATCCTCGCCACCATGTTGTACCGTGTATTTGGTGTAGCTAGGATCATAAAAGATTTCAGTAATCTGTTAAACTTTTAAGTAAAATTGTGTAAGGATATTTATTATTTTAATGGGTAAATAAGACCCATTAAAATAGTTGGAAATGCTTCAACATTTTTAGCTTGGTGTAGAAACTACTATTATGTTTTAATTAGCACCTTAATATTTTAATTTGAAAAATTAGATGTTTCTAACAATATTTTTTTTAAGTTTACTTCTATGTTCCTGGTGTAATTTGGTATTAACTGCATTACCATTTTGTCTTTGTAAATTTAATCCGTATATACTGTTTAATATTTAAAAAACTATTTCTCTACGACTAACGTGTTTAAATATCCTTGAAATTTAGAATACTATAATATTTAGCTAAGTATTATTCAACTAAAGCATAACTAACTTATTTATTGTGCGGCATTACATTTTTTATCACTTATTCAAAAAGATAAAGTGTATCTGATAGGCAATTTATAGCCATAATTCGTAGTGACTATGTCAAGGTTGGGGAATCTTTTGTTTTGAAAGATATGTGTTAATTAATTCATTGTAGAGATACGTGATGTCCAAACAAATAAATATTTGCATCCAGTTGACAGGCATTTAATTAATCTAATGGCAAGACATTAAGGCACTTTTTGCTAGTTTTTGGCAAGCCCATTTTTCGTATGTGTATGAGTGTGATATGCTTATTAGCGGATCATAATTAACTGATACCTAACCTGATAATAATAATCTAGCAGCGGGAAATCCCGATGATTGCTCCACATGTCTCAAACTAATTGGACAACAAATTAATTTATGGCTCGCCCTCGCCTGGCGTCAAAATGAGTTGTTGATTCATAAATTTATGCAAAGCGACTGCCTGCCGCTGTTTGTTGGCTCTTTGCCACCTCGCACGAATCGGTGGCCAATTTATCATCTCTTGAAATTCCACAACGGAAAACACACACAAAATACAAGAAATAATGAAGCAACACCAGTCTTAAGTCCCTGCATGTTCATCTTGTCTGCATTATGGGATTGTGGGTGGCAGGGGGCATATGATATGGTATTATAGGGCAGGCAAATGCTAATCACGTGAGACGGACAACGGCGTTCAATGATCATTTAAAATGGTATCCAGCTGTTGGCCAAAATAAAATAGCCAGCGGGCGCATTTTTCATCTTTTACATCTATTAATTTGTTTTCGAAAATTTCCCAAAGCATTTTTAACCAAATCAGAGCCTATTGTCCGTTGAAATTTGACCTTGTGAAATCTGATAACACTCTGCATGTTTAGCTTTATATTTTTGAACTTGAAAATGGTGATGAAATCGCTGGCTTGCGTTGATCGGAAGGAAGCTTGTAATTTAGACACGGAATTCCAGACAGTGAGTCTGAATTTCTGCCCCCCAACAGCCACAAAGCCCTCATCCATCACTCATACGCCACATGGAACAGGCAGCCAGGAGGGGGAGTGGCATGTTTGGCAAACATTTCGCACTGCGATCGCTTGGCAACTACAAATTGTGCAAATTATCAACGGAATTGTTGAATGTACAACTGTTGGCCATTGACCAAACGACAAAACGTTTAGCATCGCTTATTATGACGACTTCTAATCACGGCCAATGACCATGGAATCAGTAAACGGAATAGAGCAAATGTTAAAGTAAAAACAAAATTTGTTTAGTTTACTTAAAGATTAAAAAA